TTTGAATAAACTTAAAGCTTTCACTCCATGATGACTGGAACGTGATTTCAGCCGGAAGTCTTTTATAGTTTGATAGCTTCGATCTGAGATCTGACCAGCTCATTTCATTTTTATTTTCATTTATATGACGCCTTAGAATAGCTTTTTGGATTGTATTTATAATAAAATTGTTTGGAAATTTGGGGTGTATTTTAAAAAATGTTAGAACAATTTTGTCTATATCCGAACTAAAATTAATCATAAATTTCTAACAAGACACTCTCTTCATATTACCTAATCATTATCCGGAATAAATGACAATTAAATGGAGCAATATCTGACAAATATGTCTAGTGTTGTAGACTATTCCTTTTGTTTATTATCTTTCCAAATAGTTTTTAATAAATGTAGGAATATATAATCTAGCATTGTAATATTGAAATAACGTTTTATTGTGCCCATCTTCTTATTCAATTCATTTCGTCATTACAGCTTTACAGATATATTGTATATCTCGTTTCTATAGCTCATTGTCTTGAATCTACCTCACCACGATTTATATATGCTGTTGTGCGCTATTTGCTATATCAACAGATCTATTTTTTGATACCAGTAACTAAACGATGTCCAAATCCTTTTCATGTTTTCATGTGGACCAACGGCTCATTCATCGTTCTGCATTCTTAAACATATGTGTTCCAGTTGGTGTGTTATCTATTATTTCACCCTGCATTATATTCCTACTGTATTCCTACATACTATTTAATGCTTCTAAATGCTTCATTCACGTTTGTCATGAATCTTCTTTTAATAACTCATCCGTAACCAATCCATTCTAGTATTATACGCTCTATCAAAGGAATGAAACCATTCTTTCAGTCTCCAGTAAACGACATGATTCTTCTAAACTGTTATTTAAAAATAATAATAAGTTAATAAACCTTCCGTTCATTTTGAATTTACATTAATATTACCAGAAGGTGATTAATTAAATTGATTATAAACATAGCAAATGGCTTTTTCGGTGTTTGTCAGCTCTTTCTCACAAAGAAGGACTACAATAGTTGCTTTGAAGTAATCGAAAATATTTTGCAAATTATCACATAAATTAGTTAACTATTGTTTTTTATTGTTTTAGCGATAGTTTATCTCAAAGAATTATTCCAACACTGTTAGAGAAACATTTCCCAAAAACGACCTATCGCGACTGTGTTAATTGAGTACCAATATGATCGGAAGTTCTTGAAGACCGTATACCGATTCATATAATAATATCACATAACTTTTATAAATTCATGACTATATAATATATTTATTATATTGTATCACACATTTTTAAAACTTAATTCATTTATTCATATCTTTAATAAATAACGTAATTATATCTGATAAGATTTTTACTCAAAGACCGTATAATTGGGTCTTTGTCAATACTTCTTAATAAATTTTATTTGATGAAAAACCAAATACTGGGAAAATTTTAAGCAGATTCAGCCTCTTAGCTCCAAAGCTTATAAAGCTTTGAAAAAACCAAACATTACAATTTACGTTATAAGCATACGGTCTTCGACAGCACTTTTCAAGCTGCGAGGAATTTAAAAGTTTTTTTTAATTGAGATTTAAGACCGTTCTAGACAGGAAGTCAAAGTCCGTTGTTTTTATTTTTATAGATCGTTACAGATTTAATTTAAAAATCTGACTACATTACGTTTATCTACATTTAGGGACCTGCTTATTAATCTGTGAACTGGCATAATCTTTTTACCATTATACAATGCTTAAGTCTTAGGAGTATTTCTTAATTACTCCGAAGACGTAAGAGAGTATGTACGTTTACAATCAAGGAGAACCAAAGACAATGCACCCTAAAAATTGCATTTAATTTAATATAGAATGAAAAATTCGTGATGTCACCATCAATGGATGAAAATGTATCATGAAAAGCGAATTATTTTTCCATGTTTGGGCGAAGACTCTCTAGACGCCCAAAAACTTAGTATAACCAAACCACATGTTATACTTTCAGAGAATTCCGCAAGTTATTAAAGTAAATGTTTAATGACATCATTGTCTCCAGAAGTATAATTGTTGAGTGGCCTCTTAGATCATATAATTTACAGTTATTTAAACATTTTTATATAAGTATTTGGAGTTATAGTCTGATGTGAACGGTACGAAACCGATTTCAACTATAGAAATAAGTAAAATGTTCAACAAAATTGCAACTATGACAGATAATTTTGTATTACTATAGCAGTCATCTCACTTTATATATTGTAAAACCATGCCCACACTTATAAAGTGTGAAATCTTTGAAATCTTAGTGCTGAACACCTCTGTGAGTGGACCAAGCACATAATCGCCTAAAAAGTTTTCTTTGCTTCTAGTTAAATTTAAATTTCTTTAACACTATTTCTTCCACATTTTCATAACTTCTACAATACTCATAAAAGGAACTTTCAGCTTAAAAACGTGTCAATAAAATAGCCACCAGTGACCGGTTATACAAACAATAAACTTGGTGTTTTTTGATAACCTTAATTTCTTCATAACAAATTTCGGTTACATTAAACTAGACTACAGACAAGCGTCCTAGTTTGGTGAATTGATATTGACATTCTTTTTCTCGCTTTTATCTACACCCAAGAGAAGATTAAGTACCTCGACTGTTCACTTCATCGGCCCTGAAATTGTTGTTAATATCCTTAGTATTATTAAAACGGTGCAGATATAGGTTCCTCATAGGTTCTAAAGGTTCTCAATACCACCGAGTTCATTTATTTGATGACCGTCTAGCTGTTCGAGTGTATATTTATCATTGTTTTGATTATAGCATGTTTATTTAAGTAGATAGAGTCTTTTTTGATTAGTAATACCTATACTTCATTAATATTAGCATGTTTCGGGAGACAAATATAACTTTTTAATTCTACGTTCTTTAAGTAATTCTCAAGGCTAACTCTTTTGTTAAGATGGGAACCACCAGTGTAAAAATACATTTCAGCTCTTTTTCATGGCATGAGTGTGGATTCCACTCATTTATGGACTGTAATTATTTTATTTCTTATGTAACAATAAATAATAATTTTGCAAAAAGATTAGATGAGATATCTAAATAAAACTGTTCAACTTTATGTTAAATACATATATTTTCTGTGCTTTCATTTATTCTATTATTCCACTATTTTCTAGAAATACTAGAAACTAGAAATAGTGGAATTATTTTTATTTATATATATTTTATTTATTTTATATATATATATACATGTGTGTGTGTGTTATGTATGGTGTTTATTTTAATAAGTGAAAAGTGTCTAACTTGGACAATTATATTATTTTTCTAAAATCTATATTTTGAAATGTTATATAAATAAACGAATTATTATTTTCAAGTAGCGCAATTTCTAGTCGACTCGACCTAATGCTTGCACATAATTTTTTCTAACTTATAATAACTTGCAAAACGTAAAATGCCTCACTGTATTATCTTTATTCCAATGCAAAAGTGACAGGAAGTCTTGGTTCCAAAATCATAAAATTTCTGTTCTTTCTCTTTTCAGTATGCGTTCACTGTTTAACATATTTAGATCGTACGGATTAAATTGCGGTGTAGGGAAATAAAAGTTTTTTGATCTTTAAAAACTTTTGATCTTCAAAAATCATTATGGAATTTATTGGTCATGACTTAAAAACAAAAGCATATCTTCTGGAATGTGAATGCAGTATAAATCGAGGAATATCTGTACCGAGATTAGTAGCAAACTCAAAAATAGAACATTTAAAGAAAACTTTTAAAACAGAAATAGATATTTCGCCACTAGATCTTATCAATGAGGTATTGATTGAATGTAAGTAAGACATATTTTATATATACAACATAAATATTTGTAATATTTACGACTGACTAATTTAACAAAAATTTAATGAAAAAAATTGTGGGATTTCCCGGCGTACAGAGACCAGTACTTATAGAGTTACAAGTGCATAATTGCTCTCCGTGATAAAAATAACTACATAAACTTAAGAAATTTCTTTCTATATTCATGTTTCAATTAGTTTTCCGGTCTTTTCAAAATAAAGACCCTTGGCTTCATATGGTTTTACTTATATATACATATATAGATATAAATAAAGATATATGTATGGGAAGTAATATTTACATAAGTATGAAAAAGAAAAGTGTATTTGATTACCAAGTAATAATGATAACCATTACCTGCTACCTGCAGTTATATATACTTTTTTATAAAGGGGGTGTTTCGTTTCAATACATGGATAATATATAGATTTTTGAATAATATACGAAAATAAATTATTCACAATGAAAAATCATGATTTACTGGATAAATAATGAATATAAATTTCTAAAAAAAATATATTTCGTATCAATATAATTTTTGAACCAATTTAAATATGAAGATATATTTAATGAAGACAAAATAAATATAAAGCATGAAATATTTAAATTAACTATTGTTGAAAAATTATAAGATTTTTGCAAAAAAGAGAGATCTTTTCATATACCCAACTCTGTACTTATCTATATCTAAGTAAATGATCCCAATAGATCTCCCACCTCCACCATATCTTTTGTTTATCGGATCATCTACTGTACCTTATTTATACCCTATTTTAAATATTTATTATATTTAATTTATTTACAAATTTTCAGTATCTACGAATAGTTTCGATGGATATGCAAGTTTGTTCATTGTTGTAGATTTTGAATGCTACTGCCAAATCGATAAAGTTATGTTGGCTATATATAATGCAATTAATTTTAATAAGAATCTCATATATGTCACAAAAATAATACTTACGCATTCACATATAACTTATATGTAAGTATAAAAATTAACTGTTATTTGTTACTATTCTAGTTAGTATACTAAATTCCTTTCTTATTTAACTTCTTAGAAAAGATGCACCAAAATTCCAGAAGAAAAAAAGTCGCCGGACACCTAAATACCAAAAAAGTGCGAAAAAGCTACTACAGACGATATCTTATATTAGTTATAAGTTTCTTGAAGAGGAGAATATTAATTTGTCTATAATCGATAATTCCATTTTAGTACAATTTGGAAGAATGGGTATATTTATTATATAAAACGTTACACACAAGTCATTTATACTATATATTTACCATATGTCTATTTATACTTGTACTTGCAGAATACGAGTACAATGAACAACTGACTGCTTTCGAGAGTTTTTTAACTGAATTACATAAAAACCGTTGTCAAGTTTCAGTACAAGAGATAGTAACTAACGTGTTAGTTAAGTAAGAAGTCTTAAATTATATTAAAATAAATACAATAATTAATCGATAAATTCTTATTATTATTAAATGGAAAACTATACATTTTAGCGAAAATGGAGTTGAAACTTTCGAGACTACTGCCACTATGGGCTGTTATGTCTTCAACATAAATCCAGCATTAGCAATTGTATTTAATCACATGAACTTCAGTAATCTCGATATGAGAGAGGCTAGTATAAATGATATTAATAGATTAAAAAATTCATTCATCAGGAAAAAAATTCCTCTCTTGATAATTAAAGATGGTAGTGCCGAAGAGGTTAAACGTGTAATGAATTTCGGTAAACTTAAAAAGAAAAATGTATTGATATATCCAAAATACAACTAAAAATTCATTATTAATTGCAGTACAAAAAATGAAGTGGCATAATATGAAAAATTTATATATAACAGTCATGTCACATGGACATGAGAATGATATAATATACACAAAAACTGAAGCCTATAATATTCAAGATACAATTATTAAACCTTTATTAGCTAATAAAAATCTGAAAGATACTCAAAAGATTGTGTTGGTGAATGCTTGTCGGGGTGATATTGATCCACGTCTTGAAGATGATGATTTGGAATATGTAGAAACCGATATGAATAATATTGATGTAAAATTAGTCACTTTTTATAGTTCACAGAGAGGTAAAATGATGACAAATGTATGTTGTAATACATGTATTTAACAAAATTTTATAATATATCCTTATACTAGGCATATATTTCAAACTAACAATTAAAAAAATATTTCAGGTTACGTTTCTCTTCTACCTAAGGATGGTGCAGTTTTTATTAAAGAATTCTGTGAACATTTCGATATACCATTCAATGAAGTATCAATGGAAGAGATCGCTACACGTATGGAAACAGTTTTACAGAAAAAAATGGAGTATGTCGAAGAAATTTATATGATATATATTATTGTGATATTCTTTAATTCCTTCCATTTTACAGTTTCTGTGAGAAAGTTACAGACTATTGTGCAAAACCAGGTGTTCTACATAATATTAAAATGGAATTTAAAAATTTAGTACCTTACAAATCTCTTTATAAAAAATTTTGTAATCTTGTTGAACAATTGAAAATTGCTGCAAATGACACTCCGGTCATTAAAGATAGAAGTTTGAATTCTAATTGAATTCAAACGATACAATGTATATTGTATGTAAATCCACCATTAATGCCATGAAGCTATACACCAGAACTGACAGGCTACCCTACATAGCACTATCTAATCTCAAAGCAGTCACTAGCCATACGGGGAGATATGCAGATCTTAGATCAGTCATCGAATAATCAGCGAAGTTTGTGATTACATAAATTAGTGAAAGAGAAGGAAGAAACTCTGTAGAAGCCCCCAGCAAAAAAAGAGTAAAAGTGTCTAGTTTGCTTTAACTCGAAAAAACTTCAACATAAGAAATATTGTAATTATTCATTTATTACATTTACTTATTAAAAAAAATATATATATATATGTACATATAAAAATATAAACAAAAAATATATATGAGTTTAACCCTTGGAACTCAAAAAATTATTTACGAATAATTAAATATAAGAAATAATTTTAAAACCACTGATAATGGATACTGACAATACTCGAAACAGCTGAGTGGTCAGTCAAAACTTCCATTAATTAAAAATTATAAAAAAAAATTGTTGTTGTAATTTCACTACTGTTCACTTACTACTAGATGACAATCTATCGAGAAGAATATTTTTAACAAAGGCCGAAAAAACTAAATATTACGGGAGATTATGTCTTGTAGGAAATGACAAGAAAATTTAAATTAAAATTAATAATAAAAATTAATGGCAGAAATTAACTAACTATAAAGTGATAGTTAAGCACTAAGATGAATAATTATAATGAATAATTAATGAATAATTAAGTATCGCTAAAGATTTTAGTTTTAGGTAGTAATGAGAAAGTAAAAGTGAGCCTAATGACGAAATTGAAAGTGATGAGAAAGTAATGAATAAACATTAAAATGGATAATTTGAGTCCTACTGAATCAAGGCTTAGAAATCTTAATGAGAAAATTAGACTCAGATTTAAATGTGATGTCAAACAATTTAATATACCGTTGATGTCGTAATGTAGTGTGATTATCTGTCAAATGAACAAAATAGATGAATGTTAACTACACTTAATATAGAACACTAAAGAAGGATATGCCAACAATGGCCACTGATAAGAAGATATTGTGTTTGACTGATATTTAGCACTAGGTTTAAATCAACTCTATAAAAATAAATAAATTTCGTATATAAATCATTTTAACTTATAAAATAGTTTTATACCACGTTCACACTCTTGTTTAGGCGGTTTTGTTCATTATAGCCACTAATGAGAATGATTTACCATACTGAAATCTTTCATATAAATGAGCTCATTATCAATAAATCAGCTCATTTAAGATGAAAAATGTCGAATGCAACAAGGAAAATCACCAAAATTTGAAATATGTGGCATATGTTGTATATGTATTGATATATAAAATGTATGTAAATAATTTAATGTATTAATTATTTTCATATTATATTTGTTTGATATGTTAATAAGTGAAGTTTATAAAAGTTCTATCAGCTGCATAAATGATGAGCTCTTTATAATGTGAACATTCACTTATTAATATAAATGAGCATGTACCTAAATGAGACAGTGTGAATGTACTCTACTTCACATTCAATTATAAATATTACATGAACATAATTAAGAAAAAAATAAAATGTGAGAAAATGTAGCGCAACTCCTAATTCAACATTGCCGAGTACTTCATTGTAATTTCATTTCAACGCAAGTTTTCACAGCAGAATTTTTAGTAAGAATTCTCCATTCGTCGATAATGGTTTGACGCGGAATATAAAAATTGATTAAAATATATTTATAAATATATAAACATGGAATTTGTTGGGCATAATTTAAAAACGAAGGCTTATGTTTTCGAATGTGAATGTAAAAGAAATCGTGAATTAATGCAGAAGTTCTCAGAAAATTATATCAAAACACACTTAAGAAAAACTTTTAAAAAAGATATAAATATTTCAACACTACGTCTCTTTAACGACATTCTATACGAAAGTAATTACATACTTCACTTGTAAATTAAAAAATTTAATTTAATACCAAAACAATCTTATAAAAGCAGCGACTATAAATATTTGCTCTTTATATGCAAATAAAATATAAATTATTTACAAAAAAAAAATATAGATACAAAGAGCACTGAGATAGTTCGTTGAGTCATAGATTGTTTATACGAAATATATTTTTACTCAACAGCGGCAATTAAACAAAAACATAAATATAAAATAATTCTCAAGTTGTCTATATGTAAAATTTTTTCTCGCAGTTTGAATACGTATCTGATAACAATTAAAGTAAGAAACATATTTTGTTATGAGATATAAAAAAGGGGAAGCTCCGGAATTAACGAAGATACTAAACTTATTTAATTGATTATCTTTTGGATTGATTAATAACCACTTTCGGATTACTAATTTGAATAATCTGAATTTCGAATATTGCATTATATTTTGAAATTGGGTCTGTATATAAGAAAAATCATTCTTTGCCAATTAAATTCTTTAGAAAATTCAAATATTCAAGCTATTAAAATCTACATCTATTTATCCATAAATATATGATAAATAATAAAATATACGAAATATAAGGAACATAAACAGTAGACGAGTATCTATTTTTCTTTTCCTGATTTCAGTTCTATTTTTATTAACTACATAAAGACTACATAACTACATATACATTTTAATATATATTTTGGTATTGATATCAAAGTTTAGTTTAATTGAATAATTTACTTGTCCAACATCCAAAATATATACAGTACATAAATTTATAGACTATAGATTTAAGGAATATCTAATATAACGAAACCTTTAAATAATAAACCATCAAATATTCATAAAAAAAACCAAAAAGAATAAAAATGATCGCTCTTAATAAACGAATAGTGCTTCCAAATGCTTTCGAAATAATGAATGGTCTTCACATTATATATTTTGTAAAATATATGATCAAAAAATCTTTTTCTGAAATTATTTCTGTACTTTACAGAAATATCAAAAATAATATACCAGATCTACATATGAACCTTCATTAAAGCGTTGCATAAAATTCCTTTATCAGAGGTTACTTTCAGTTTAAGTATCAATAACAGACATTATTTAATTCATCATGATTTATTCTGACACTTAATGGTCTATTAGGAATATCACAAGATGAACATCGCGGCATTTAGTAGTTTCAGTAGTTTTAGTGACATTCAGTACACATAATTTTAAATATAACCAAGTTAATTGACATATCAGGTTAATTCGTTCTACTTGATTAGTGAATAGCACTTTCTCAAAAGGACACTGTTCGTACAGTGAATGCTAGGGACATCTTCTTCAGGAAACTCTTGATATCAATCTGCATTCAAATAGAAATATTCATAAATACATATATTCGAATATCAAAGCTATTTAATATGATTAGAATTTTTTGCAGAATGTATTAGAATTAATGTACTATAGAAACGTCTAAAAACACAAAACGCACTAACTGGAATTTTGGACCGCAAATGATAGTTGGTCAGTCAAGTTATAGAGGTGGGCGACCACGAGCACCATTTAGTATTTGGATAAGAACAGTCTATAGAAAATTTACGGCCACACGTTATACATGCAATTATATATGACAAGCAGCATCAAGCACCGCCAAGATTCAGGATATTAGATTCTCCATTAATATGACAAAAATGATAAAAAAAACATACATTTTTAACATTATGACTACTATTCAAAATTAATATTGGATAATATTGTAAATATCTTAAAAAGTTTTGGCACTGAACTTAAAATTATGATTCCAATTATTGATTAATTTATATATATTCAAACATGAAGACAACATACCCATTTTCCAACAGGCAGACAGAAATTATATTAACCAGGTCAACAACATGGCCTTTATACTCTGAATATAGAACCTCTGAATTAGTTTATAGAAGTATATCGAATGCAATAATATCAGTCCTCACTGGGCGTGGACTATAGGACGGATGGAGCCAGGCTGGGCCTGTCTTGTCGAATCTCTTGTAATAAATGTTCACCGGACCTCAAGAAGAAAACACCAATACACCTGTGGTGTTTAAGTTAGGCTTATCCAGTACCAAGCTTAAAATCTTACTTCTTTAATTATGCTCGTCTTTCTACCCACAACTACGAGGGAACTGGTATCAAAACGGTTTATGTAATTAATTGAGGAAGCTCTGATTATATTTACACTTCTTCTACATATCCATTTTGTAAGCTTTTAATGCGTTGTGGTGCGTCATTTATTTAATATTTATATATTTCATGTGAATATATTTATCTATATATAAATACATATATTTATATTGATATTAATTTAGGTATGCAATACTTTTTTAATACCGACAATTTGCTAATTTCAGTCTCTTCGGATAGTTTCATTAGCTATGCTAGTTTGCTCATTATTTTGGATTTCGAATGTTATTGCCGTGCGGATAAATTACTACTTGCGTTGTATAATGCAATCAATAACAATAAACATCTAAAATATGTTACAAAGATAATTCTTACGCACACATATCTTCCCTTCAAGTAAGGCAAATTTAAATACAGTACTTTAAACGGACTAAACTAATTTTAAATCAATTTTCTAGAAATGACAACTTGAAATTCCAGAAAAAGATAGGACGCAAAAAATTAAACTTTCAATTAAATCGGGAGAAGGAGTTGAAATCGCTTCGACCGCGCTTTAGTTCTGATGAAGGACGCGCTAGAAGAGAAATTTCAAAAATGATGTTTTTTAAAGACTTTAAAAATGTGAAAAATAGAGATAATGTAAAAGTTAACCGTATCGTTCCAGAGGTTATAGCACCTAAATATGAAAGAACTAAAGTGGCGGAACAATTCTTAACACAAGAAAATATAAATTTTACTCTAATCGATAACTCCATTCTAGTGGAATTCAGAAAAATGGGTACATCTTTCATTATAAAAATTGCTACAGCACACTTTATATAAGGGTTTCAATCAATTCTAGGTCATTTTAAAAGTACAACTGCATTTGAAAGTTTTTTGACTCAATTGCATAATTTAGGAGTTCGTGTTTCAGTGCAACAGATGACAGCTAATATACTAGATAAGCGTGATAAATGGTTTATGTAAGATATATTTATTTGATCAACATACTTAATTAAAATAATAACAATTTTAGCTACAGTGAAATCGGACACTTTGAAACAACTTCCACTATGGGTTGTTATATCTTCAATATAAATCCAGCACTAGCAATTGTCTTCAATCACATTAGCTTTAATAATCTCACGATGAGAGATGCTAGCATAAATGACATTGAGAGACTGAAAAAC